TGACGCATTGGTAAATGTGTTCCACTGCTCAGGTGATAAAGAATCCATAGGTTTGCTAATGGATAAAATATCTTTAACGAAATGTGCTAAATATTGCAATTCTTGAACGAACCATGAAACGCAATCTACACCGCGGTAACACTCATATCTCGATAGTGAGATATCGTATGAACATTGAATATAATACCCAATACTAAATACTTTATGATGCTGATATGGATACGAATTTTGGTTCTGCTGTTCAGTCATTTTTTCTAAGATACATTCTAGATCGGCGTAGACTACAAACGGCAGCCGCTCCTTTCGAAAATAATTTTGGAACTTTAACCACTTGTCCTCTTCGTTAGGCAGTACAATAGCACAGTCATTCATTTGTTTGCACCGGATGGTGTGTGTTTCCAATTTCTGGCTCGAGCAGAAATAGTGCAGGCACCTTGAAAAAAGAAAAAAATGGGGGAAAGTGGTAGGTAACGTATTTATGATTCTACAGAAGCGTATGACGTCTAGTCATAATGCGTACCGATCACAAATGAATTTCTTGCTCTTCTTCTTACTTAATTGGCTACTAACTAGCCGAGAGAGATTCTTGATGCATGCGAAATGTCCTGGGATTGTACTGTTTTGATGATTCTCCACATACAGCAAATTGGCATGACGATTCTTCTTCTCACTAGTCAGATATAGTGGTGCAATCATATGATGATTTTCAATACCGTATACGTTAATGGAAACGTCATTCAGTCTCTCAAACAATCGGATTTGATTGAGAGAGATTGGAAACTCGATGTTGCCAAAATTTAACACGGTGTTGTAATGAGGATATGACGAGGGTCGCTCTGTGTGTCTCGCAACGGGATAGAGAGCCGCTACTACTGCCCACGCGAAACATGCATTGTCTCCAGATTCGATAGTGATTGTTGCCCTCTTGTACCGGATATTTTGCGGTATTTTAAAGTAGCACCCTGCGTGCATGGGATTATATTTATTTACATTGATAGTCAGATCTAATATTTGTTGTAATGCCCAATCGCTATCGCGTTCTTGAAATCCCTCCAAACTCGACAATATCGTATCGACAACAGATCGATTGTACCACTCTTGCAGATCAGACATTTGGAATAACTCCACGTTTTTAGTGTTCACACATTTGTTAGCGTGTTTGTTATTTGCCACGAATCGGCCGTTGAACACACCGTTCACTTTCAGCGCTCCGTGTTTTTCAAGAGCCGTTTGTACGTGCTGCAGCACCACATCTTTCGCATCTTCAAGAAAATTTCGAGGCTCGATATACGTGACATTTATAACTGCGCCAGTAAGTACACGACTATCAAATGCTGTTTCTATCTCTTGCCAGAAAAATCCTTTAACTGAGTGTCCGGCATCCTCATATACAAATCGTCTTCATACCGAATATTTAAGTCCCTCTAGCCGGGCGATTCGAGCTATAATCGATGATCTAATACCGATCGATAATCGAGGCTGCTTTATTCGACCATTTTCTGTCATCGATTCGATAAGTTCACGTAACGCTGAAACTCGCATTCTTAATTCTTATATTTCTAATTTTCTCCATAATAATGACTCCTATATATTTATATCCTTTTAACACGTTGAGCGACACGTCAGCCATCGGTGGCTGACACTAGACTTTCCGTTTAGGCCGCGTCAGCCACCAGTGGCTGACACCGCGTGTTTCAGCGTATCTAAGCGGAGCGCGTGGCTTGACGGGCACTTACTTAAAAATCAGCGTGACGCTCAACGTGTTAAATAACCTATTACAACTTTATTCACTGGACTAGAGACACCATACACTTTAGCCTTTTGTAACTCGCGCCAACCGATGCAATTCCGCATCATGGCTATTCCAACCAATAATATTACGACATGCTTACGATTGGTTTATATGTTCCAATAGGAGCTATTTCATCTACTGCGCAGGCGCCCCTCCTGCTAATAGGTTTTACGATATGACCTAGAATCTATGACACCAATAACATTACCCTGGCATCGTGATTGGCTGGTTCCAACCTATCGAAGCATTACGAATACGATGCGCACTAGTTTGCCGCAAACGCGCGACATAACCTAAAAATATTACCTCTATACGCGTGGCTATCGATAGTGAGTGACGCTCTTGACTTTTACTGTTATTTTGCTCTCTGAGTTGGTTTATTTCGCCAGTTCAATTATATAATTCATTCATTATTCCCAATTATTATTCTCAGGAATATTTCTGTGCTCTTAAGGATAAATATAAAATCTCGGCGTGTTACTTCCATCTAACTGTGCGACATAACCTAAAACAATGTGGCACCTTTTCATCTTATCTTCAATCTACATCGTGTAAGTCAACTCCAAATTTTAATTAACTTTAGTTATTAAAACATTGTGTATCATATATTTACGGATCATTGTAACATTCTTATAATTGGAAGGTACCGTGATATGTCAGTGCAAAGTACTGTGCAGTTAAATCGCATTTCCCTATTGAACATTTGGCTATTCTCAGTAACACAGAAACTTGCATTCTTAATTCTTATATTTCCAATCTTTTCCATAATAATGATTCCTTTATATTAATATCTATCTAAATAATCCATTATAACTTTACTCATTGGACTAGAGATACCATACGTGTTAAGTCTTTTGTAACTCGCGCCAGCTTATGCAATTTCGCATCATGGCTATTTTAGCCAATAATATTACGACATGCTTGCGATTGGCTTATATGAGCCAATAGGAGCTATCTCCTCTACTACGCAGGCGTTCTCTCTGCTAATTTGCTACACGAAATGACGTTGAATCTATGAAACCAATAACATGACCCTGGTATTGTGACTGGCTGGTTCCAGCCTATCAATGCATCTTGAATACGATGCTCACTAGTGTGCTGTAAATGCGCGACATAACCTTAAATTACTACTCATATATTTGTTGTTATCAATTGCGAGTTACGCTCTTGACTTCCGCTGTTATTCGCTTTCTGAGCTGGTTTGCTCTACCTGCTCAATCCTATAATTCATCCACTATTTCCAACTACTATCTTCGAAATGTTGAGTGATGTCAAGATTTTATTCTTGTTTTATTTTGCTTTAATATGAATGGTTTGTACCTCGATATATCTGTCCATGGTCTTGTGTGTTCATTAATGAATGACTGGCTGTCAAGTCTAATTTCCTAACGATCTACTTAACTATCTACTTTTATTTGTATAATATAACCTCTATTGTCAAACCTAGTCCTTCTTTTTTCAAAGTCTATCAATACTATTGAAACCATGTTACTTTTGCACACTATCTTATAAGTGGGATAAAATAGGATAATACCTTTTAATTATTTCTTTTACTAAATTTATTGACCTGTTTTTATTATCATATAATACAAGACGTATACGTTTCTTCTTCTTTTTAACAAACATGACATGTTCCCTTTTGTTCTTATTTTTATTAGTATTCTTTGCTTTATCTATATTAACTATACATTTTACTTATACCATTAAAGTAGGATACTCTCTCTAATATTAATATTCTACTTCCCACTTAAGATAACCAATAATACTTACCATGTAAATAAGTGAATTTCTCCTTAAAATTTAGGTACTATGGAATTCCTACCTTCTTCCTTTAATCCTATAATCATCTCCTTAACCTATACTTACCTTATTTGTACTATCATCCATGTATCCGTTTTACGTGTAACTCACCTTTTCCATTTATATCCTATTTCCCATCGTTATGACTATTTCTTTTCATTAAAAACCGACATTCAAGTTTTTATAATACTATTATTAAATATCTTTATTATATTTTTATTCGTTTTACATTTATATTATACATTTTATACACATTTGATTCCTCCTAGCATATAATTCATCTAATAACACCGACATATTTTATATCATTAAGAATAATTAGTTAGATCTGTTATTTAATATGTAGATACGATGGATTTCTACTTACCCATACTCCACATCCTTAACCCCTCCCTGTGCCCCTATACTTACCTTGTTTTCCCGTTCCTTAGTGTTGTATGGTATGAATGAGAATGTATGATGTATAAATGTGGCTGGCGCCTGCGTCTGTGATGTTGGGAGTGCCCAAGAGGTGCATCAGATGTTTCGCTGGTGCATCTTAAGGGCTGATGTGTGGTAACACTGCCGAGATACCACAGGCGCAGTTACGTCTGGAAGTACCCCCTTCGGGCCCTAGCCAGGGAGTGTACATTGAACTGGGGGGTCGGAGCCCCAGTCGCCCCGAGCGAGCTCTCCCTCGTCAGTATCGGGGGGAGTAAAGAGTTAATGTAGGGTCGGCAGAGTACTGCCGAATGATCGAGGTATCTCCCATGGGTGTACCCACCTCTATACTGCCCGCTCTTCTGTATATAGGCGGTACCCAAAAAACAAACAATGTCATTAAACAATCAGAAACAAACCAAATCGATAATTAATAACTCACCGTTGAATAAAGATAGATCCTTTGATCTCTCCCTATTTCACGCGAAAAATCCACGAGAAGACTTGAGTAGCGTCACCAACACCACGGGTGACGATGAATCCGATAAGAATATATCCATTGCAAAACCAAAAAGCTCCATCCTACTAGGTCCTATGGATGAATATGCGCTTATTCACACTCCAATTCGTAGCCTACAACGCTCACCTGTACTTCCACTTCCTTCAAACCTACGAATCCCCTCTGAACATAGCTCTTCTCAACCACCTCCTTCTGCTACTCTATCATCTAAACGCAAACGCAGAGAAGTTAGCAAAGGAGATACTAGCTTAAATCTAAACTCCTCCAATATCTCTAATAATAGTAGCAGAGGCGGGAAAAAAATACACAAAAAATTTCTTTATACTTCTGGTAGCTCTTCAGACATTTCCTTAAATGAGGAAGAACGAGGAGATCAATCCCACATTCCTCTCCCTACATCAAAAACCGCTGCCTCTCTTCGGGAATACGCCAAAGAAGTCGAATATGTTCGTCTTCACTCCAGTAACCTAAATGGTATATTCAGTAAAAGATTAAAGATCGTTGTTCAATCACTAAATGAGCTAGCTTACAATATCAGTTCTAGCAATCTTCTTGAAGATAATAACGAACTTATTGCTGAAAACTTAAAACTCGCTAAACAAAATAAAAAACTTAACAAAAAAATCGAATCTCTAGAAGCACGTATCCAGTTGTTAGAGTCTACAGCTAATAAACCTACTCCTGCCTCTCCCCCTACTTCTGTCACTCTCAATGTTCCTATGTCATCCTCCTCTCCTCCATCCGATCAGTTATATGATCCACTCCTTTAGTTAATTAATAAAAACATTGAATCGAAATTCCTTGATTTTAAATCTGAAATTGTGACACTACTTAGCAACAATAACGAAGGATGTAATCAGCACTCGTCGTCAGCTAAACCACCTGTCTCCAATGAAGTAAGACATGGCTCCTCCACACATACCCCAAACCATATTACAGTTAACTCCGGCCAAGACTCAGACCATACTCACCCTCCTACAGAGCTATGGTCTTCTATTGCTAAAAGGAAAAACAAAAAAAAATTACCTCCACCTATAATCGATAAACACTCGCTCTCTATAAACCCACTCCTACCTCCTCCTCCAGCTTCTCCTGCCCCAATCTCACCATCTCCTCTTCCACATCCCTCAGTCAAAAAGCCCCGGAACGTTGAAGTAATCTACATTACTGAAAACAAGAATAGTAATATTAAAATAAACGATATACTGACCAAAGCCAAAGATAATATAAAACCACACGAACTTGGAATCAGTTCCATTAAACTCCGGTCCTCCCTTAATGGAGGATTTATACTCGAAATCCCGAGGACCAAAGATAAAGAAATGGCCCTCTTACTCAGAGATAGAATTAACGCTCTCTTCCCCCCAGGAGAAATACAAATTTCATGCCCCAAAAAATTCAAAGAGATCCTGATCACCAGCCTCGATCAATCTGATACCCACTCAGAGATTATTAAATGCCTCCAAGATATTTG